CATTATTTTAAAGAAGTCCCGACCTCAACCACATAGAAAATGTCTGAGGCCGTATGGCAAAAGAAGTGTCTAATAAACTGAATGTTGCAGGCCTCCTACTGCAAACGAACTATGGAAAATTGTGGAAAATAAATATTTGGGAAAGTTTAGCGAAGGATTAAACTTATGCCCCGGCACTTGTTCACTCAATGCTCCATAGACTAATTGAAGTGAAAGCAAAAACCGAATGGTTTACTATCTTTATTAAAATTGTTGTTGAGATTTGCCTTTTTTGTAAATTTGTGAATAAAAGTTTATGAATTGTGTTTGTAGTAATCGATAATGGTTGCCCAATAAGGCAAACAATTTAAACACTTTAAAATCTCCGAAAAATACAACGATAAAATCCAGCTATCAGCAAGGTTTTAGTTCCAGGTTTCTAAATAACGATTAAAAGATAAGCTTACAATATGACAATGCAGCCAAAATTGGGCTCACTACTTGTACGCTTCTTTTTTGAATAGAAGTGTACTGAAAAGCAGAGAAAAATTATTCCAAAGTCCAAAATCTAGAGAAAAATTAACATCTTTTCACTGAATCAGAATAATAAAGTTTTAATTACAGATTTGCTCGTTTTATGTGAAGCATAAAATGATTTTCTTTTGCAGTTTTAGCGTAAAATCAAAGATAAAAAACTTTTTTCTCTTGTAAACTTTATCCGGAGACATACTGTATAGTTAAGGTAGTTTTTACTCTTCATCCCCTTAGTTTAAAACGCCCCTGATTAAAATTTCCACATTTAATCTTTGAATTCGTTTTATTAGGTAGAGTTTGTTCCCAATCTGATGGCGAACTGACGTTGTCAAAAATGACTGAATTTAACTAATTAAACATATGTTTACTATTAAAAAAAATATTGTTCATAGGCGTCGTATGAAATAATATTTCAAAACCACTGTTATTCTTTAAAAAGTTATAATAAATAGGTACTCGTACAAAAGATGAAGAATTATGAACAAATTATTAAATTGATATTTTTATTTATTATTAAATGATATTTTTAACAATCCTTGTCTTCAAAATTTTTAGAAAAAAAAGTACGCCCATGTACCTATTTTTTTATCTTAACCAAGTGGGCGCACTCTAAGTGTCTTTTCTGTCACTGTTAGTTCGCCACCAGATATGGAATAAGCTCTAGATATATAAAAAATCAGCTATGTTAAATTTTGCAATTTTATCTAAAATAGTTTCTGAAATATCGAGAAAAATGATGTAGCTCCCCTACTTAGTATTTTTTATAGATGTATATTTTTTATAGAACTTTTTTCTTAAAATTGAATATTTTACCATGAGATGATTATCTTGGTCAAGCGTGGCCATGGATTTTTAAATAATTGTCGTAGGTATTATCAACGCTGTCAGTGAGTCAAACAAAGATAGAATTATTTTAAAAGGATGAGATAAGCAATGACAGCCGTTTTCCATTCCATGACCACCCTTGGGTCCTTGACCAAGATAATTTAATCTCACAGTATCACCTGTTTAAATCTGTAACACTTAAAATAAACAAGTGTATATATTTTTTCAAAAAACGCAACTACGAGCAACGGTTAACCATCTCAATTCTGACTTAATACACACATAACTTTACGAGGCTTGCGCCTAGTCATAAACTGCAGTTTTTCAGAAACAATTATCATTTGTTCTATCAAGAGACGGCATGAATTTGATTCTAGTTTATCTATCTTAATCACTAACTAACTAAAAATGTTGTAATTTTTTAAAGGGTGAAGAAACTAGAGAAGATAATTCAATTTTTCAAAATTTCTAATCGAGTTCGTATCAGAATATGTATGATTGCTTGGAATGTCTTGATAATATAAATATTGTGATTGATGGTGTTAAAATTCCAGTGGTAGAGAAAGTTAAGATTCTAGTCTTAATTCTGAACAATACTTTTAGACATAAATTCAGACCCATCGGACGTCTTGTATAAAAGTCGGACGTATATGCTAACTTAAAATTGTTATATGTAAACAAAGACTTTTTATATACGAGTAGATCAATAAGAATAATATCATTTGTTGAATTATTTATTCTTTCCTAATTAAACTACTGTGATGTAATACGAGTATATCACTTATGCATTGATGTATTGATAAACTGGTCCTGCAAGTTGTTCAAAACTCTTGCCTCCGCTTCATCTTTAGTAGAACTCACACTATCGGTTTCGTAGAAATTATGAAATTATTTCAAAGTCATAGACAATTCGAATCTGAAATTTAATTAAACGCGTGGTAATCATACAGTGCGATCAAAAAGTCTTTCTATCAAGTAGGCGTACTAGTTGAGGACGTATGTCACTTGGAAGTTTATATGTGAGCAAGATGTCAAAAAATTATTTTATAAAAATTAAAATATTGATCTAAACAAATTGAATTACTGTATGAAACGTCTTAAAACACCCTAAAATGAGATGTAGTTGGAGTTTATTCATACAAATCGTTCACCACGATTTGTTGTTACAATTTACAAAAAAAATATTTTGATATTTCTTATTTACCATTGTGACATTTTATCTTCCGTAGACATACGTTTTCAATTTCCAGGCTTGCTTGATAGATAAACTTTTTGATCGCACTGTAGTATAATAAGACATACCGAATAAATCAATTGTTTTTAAATTTAATTTAATTTAAATTAGAAAAATTTTAAACACTTCTAATAATTATTAAAACTAAAATTTTTCGCATTTTTAAAAATGTCTTGTCTATTATTTGAAAAAAAATATGAAAAATAACCACATTGTATTCGGTGGCACTATATTGGTTGTTTTGTCTCTGGTCGTCTGGTATCAAAAGGTCGCCAGTAAATGGTTAATCCTCTATAAAAGTTAGTTGGAAAGTAAATAACCGTTTGACATAACAAATCACAGGTTGGTGAGTGGCGGAACAATTAAATATTTGAGTAGATGTTGCAGGTCGGGTCAAGCAGCAGGTTAATAATTGAGCCGCGTGGCTTTTAACACGGCAAGCGCCTCTTCTTTTATTCAGGACCTTAGCTTCTGTAAACGAGGACTTGACACCTGGCCGCCGGATTGATTATAAAACCACGGGGGACCTCGACGCCGCCACTCATCATCCTCATTTTTACACCTATCACAAATATCCAAATATCACAAAACCAAGAAAAAACACCCTCGGTGTTTACCCGCAACGAAACCTTTCGACGTCTCCACGAAAATTCGGAAAAACACGTGACATTCAAGTAGGGCATTAATTTTATCACGTGATTAGATCCAATGCAATTAGATACATATGGGAGTGCACGTGGCCGACACGCGCCCTCTCACGCAACTAGATGGCGCCCCTTCTGGTCTCTTGCCTGCGGCTTTTGTGCTTTTTGTTACATAATTTGTATAGGATAATTGATTCGGAAAGTACACACACGCGCCGAACGAGGGCGCGATCAAGTTATCAGTGCCCAAAATTGACATTTCCTTCCGGGAAACAATTTGACGCTAAACAAACCTAACCTGCTCTCTCATCAACACTTCAAGGCCGCCAACTCCACTAAGGCAAAAGCTAGTATTTGGCAAGTTCAATTTTTATTTCCATGGTGTATTTTTTCGTAAAAAATCTACTATTATTTTACTAAAAAACTGATTTTATATTGAGTAAATTACTACAGGGTGAGGTATTTATAATAAATACTGTAACCCTTTTTAGTCGCAACCCATAATACAATATCACAGACAACTTAGGTTTTGTTGTTTAAAAAATTATTATTAAATTTAAATCAAAGTAGTAAAGTAGTTCTTAAAATATCATTCTTTAAATTTGACAATGTCATTAATTCCATTTTTTCCCTCGAATACAAAACGTGTCAGAAACTTAATTTCGATTAAATAATTATTTGGCAAATAGATATGTAGCAAATACGACAAAAAGTTATTAAGAAAGGTTGTTCAGAATGAACATCTAAGCTTCTATACCAAATTTCAAAATCACCGGCCATCTATGATTTTTAATTTTTTTAATGTTTATTTCAGGAATCAAAGAATTTATTATGTTTAACAGTTCTATTATTATGAATAAAATAATCACACTTTGATTATTACTACTAAATAACTTTTTAACTGAAAAGCAGGCCAAGATGTTGATTTCAAACGACTTTTTGTCGTATTTGCCACATAAAAACACATAAGTCTAAAAAGTAACGTTTTTAAAAATTCCCAAGGTATACTTAATTTTTCAAATCTAAAATTATGTTACAAATTAGTCCTTAGTAGCCAAGCAGGGCTAAGCCCCCAAAAAAAATTAAATCGAGAATTTTTTTATCTTTAACAAGAGTCGTGGTACCTAAATGGGAACACACTGATATGAGTCAGCCTGTACATAGTATTATACAGGGTGTTTCAATGGCCCAAACCAACTTTTTTGGTGTCTTGAAGCTATAATTCGTCCAGAAATGTAAAAATATAGGTAGGTCAGCCGATTACAATACTTTCCTCCTTATCCTATAAATATTTTTGGGTGTGCAAATCAAACTTGACGCATCTAATTACCTAATTAGGTAATTAATAAAAATAAAGCGTCTTTGGATTACATTCAAATTCAATGTTAAGAAAGTTTAATTTTTTTTCTTATTAGAATTATTTAATCAATCACGGCTTCAGTAAAATTTTTGCTAGCCCAAGTTTGTGACAAGCCGTATATTATAGTGTTTATGTTACCTGCCACAATTAGAGTGGACAGAGGCAAAAAGTAGAGATTGGACTCGTAAATACCATTTAGCGTCGATGAAGAATTGAATAAATTCATTAGTCAGAGGCGGGTGATGTGTGGAAATGCGATTTAAGCATTATAAAAGACTTAAATATTTATTTATAACCTGGTTATCCCATAATCGGTCAAGTGATTTTATAGCGAATTATCAATTAATTAAACTAATGGCCGTGTTTTTATTTAAATTTTATAAATCGCGTTTTTACGAAAAAATATTTATTAAAAACAGTGGTTTGTCACAAACGTCACACATTAATCATTTGTACATTTTCCTAAATTGTCAGTAATAAAACTCCTCAATCATGCAGTACATAGACGGAGTGACTGTAGAACAATTACTAAACATGATCCAGTCAAAAGAAGAAATGCAAGCAATATTTTTCTTAAGTCTGTGTTGTTTGGGGGCTTGGGTTGTATTGTCTTGGATAATTCAGGTATTTAACTCATTTTTTTGTAACAATTGGATTAAATTAAGTTAATTTGGTAGTTACTCCGATCCATTTTGTGGATTTGGCCTTTATTTCTCCTCACTGCACTTTTATTAGTCATGCCTTCGTTGAGAATGACTTTGACGCAAGAAATAATCCCGAAACAAGTCGACGACCTTATCAATATTATCGATACGAAATATCACCATCACTATCACAACGAAAGTGTAAAGTGGTATTAAAACAGATTTGTGACAAGCTTTTGAATAAAGTTTTTGATTCCAATATTGATTATCTAAACAACAGAAATTTTTGCACTAATTATTAGACCGATTTAGGTACAACGGGCTGTATTGACGCATAATTTTGTAATAACACAATGATAATTTTCGAACCGGAAATGCAATCAAAATTTCATTAATGAGAGTGTACTTTCTGCAAGTTAAACGAGACGGCCACTGCATATCATCGATGTGGGTTAAAAAATATTACAATGTGTAACACAGTTTGGTTGTCTCTTAAAAGAATTAAATGAAAGTTTATGTAACAATAATTTCACCCGGCGCATCCACCAATAATCAAGAACAATTTTTAGTTTAAGTATAAAATAAAGTTGAAAATGAACTATTTTTCTGATTGATATTTGATGATTGTGATTTATGTCAAAGTTATTCAGTCTTACCAACTGTCAAGCAGTTACCGCAGACTATTTTAATAATAGATTTTATTGATCGCACGGTATTTAATTCAGAATAAACTTACCAGTAAAGTTCACTACCATCCAACATTAATGTGATTTTTATTTCATTTTTTTGTAAATATGCACGCTCCATTTATTTATTTGCGAAAACACTAAACCATATTAATGTAATATTTTCACAAACATTAACAAAAATATTTATTTCTGTTATTATCGATTACTATTTCACAAATATTAAAAAATATATTTTTGCATTTTCCAATGCTAATTAATAAATATCTTGTCACCAGACTATTGTAACTGGTTATAATAAAAGTTTATAAAAAAGCGATTTTTGTATTTTCGTTGATACAATGAACAGAGAGTTTCAAAATTTGTATGAACATAATGAAAAATAAAGGTGTTTTTATAATTAGTGCGTAAAGTATAGGTGTTTACAGCATGAGAATCTTGGTATATTTAAGCTAGGTAGTTGTTCAGAGATCATTTTCATAAAAATAAGTGAAATATTTTTTTTTCGAAAAATTAACTTTAAAAAAAAAGTATGGAAAGCTATTTTTGAAACATTTTAAAATAAATTTCTACCAATTTACAACTAAAACCTTTAGAAAAAAGTTTCCTAAAATTAAAATTTTTATATTAAAGCTGATATGTTGTGAAACAAGTGACAAAATTGGGTTTTATTTATGTTTCTATAAAAAATTAAAATTAAAACTATTGCTGCAAATTAAAAAATAGCATGTTATGTTATTTCCTAATAAACTCCTGTAAAAACAGTAGTTTATGTGGCAAAGTTGAACATTCAGCTGAGTCACATAAATTCACTTTTACTTAAAATAACATACCTATTATTTAACACACATAATATTAATATTTTATCCGCAAACGTTTTCAGATCGAGAATAAAGATTAACATAACAATTAGCAAGTAAATGAACAAAATAATCAGAATGCAACTAACAAAATCATAACAACGCTTGTAAACAAACATCACGCGTGTATCGTAATTTATGTTAAGATTTTCGAAAATGTTTATTAATTTAACTAGTGCAGTTAGTAGTGCAAAATGTCGAATGCTGATGATCTACAATGTATCTCTTCAGAAATTGCTAAAGCAGCGAAAGAAAAACAAGAAACAAACAACATTGGTATCCAAAATGTCAATAATGTAATGGTAAAAGTAAAAACGCTTAAGCGCATTAAAATAGAATTTTAACTCCATGGCTGAAAGGTAAAACTTTTACTTGTGACATTTCGTCATCAAAATGGGCACTTTTATGACGTTTATGGATAAAATATTTAAATTTGTATAAAAGATAGATTTCTATAAAATTAACCCCTAACAAACTACTACTATATATGACAGTACCAATTAAAATACATATGATTATTTTTAATGCAAAGAATTTTTTTTCTCTAAATTGTTATGGCATGGTTGTAGGTTGTAGTGTAACCTACTGTGACGACGACTAAAGTGTAGGAGTAGTTAACCCTACAGAAAAACAAAACCATTTCTTCGAAATTTGTCCAAGTAATAATTTAATATTTTGTATTTTCAACCGCAAAATCTCTGCTTTTAAATTTTCGTTGAAAAGCCAACTTTTCCATTTTCACTGTTAAAATCACCTCCAGTAAATCCCTGACGGCCCCTTCATCCTCTGCCCGTTCGATGATTGGGGTGACCTTCCGTCCTATTAATGTGCGTGTTAAATATTTACGGCTTTTTATCCACTTGTCACCCTCGTCGGTTTTTGTTTTGATTAATGTTTATTTCGCAACATGCATTTTTTTACTCTCTTTCAAAAAAAAAAAAACACAAAAATTGTCCATAAATCCCGACTAAGCAGCAATTCGAAGCTCCGCTGTTCCTCATCAAAAAGCGTTTATGACCCCTTTTGATTACAATTCGAAAAATCCATATCCCATCAAAATGCCACTAATTTGTTCGAGGCGAATGCGGCCTCAGATCGAGAAGTAGGGGCGGGCGTCGGGACGCCGCGTCGGCGCAAATGTGGCGCCCCTAAAGCACCGGAGGACTCCAATGGCAGACGGCAGTTCGCTTTCAGTCAGCCCTTGAATGTGGGGTGAATAAATTCCAAGTGTTTCTCAATTTTTGCAAAGTTGGTACAATGGCGCACTCGCCCGGAGCCGCCAAACGATAATCCGGGTGATGGACGATTCCGGGCGCGATATCATGCTCAAGGACTGGTAGTTTGTTTCCGGTTTCTATGATCGGTTTTATTTGACTGTGATGTATTCGCCTGATAAAATGATGGGGTCCAAAGGACCCACGGGACTGCATGGGCCCATCACCTCCACCGGAGCCTGTTTCGCGGGAAGATACTCGCCGACGTACCGGAGTCCGGAGCCCATGGCAAGGAGGTGTATGCCCAATCCGTCGGTAAGTTTACATCATTTATTATTAACTTTATTGACACGACTGTTTATATGAATATTGAAGCAAAGTGTGTGTTAAGTAGCATAGAAATCGAGTAAACACACCTGCACATCGAGAAATCACTCAAAATCTTTCAAAAACAACTCTTTCAAAAACCAAAGAACGTCAAACAAGAAAAAATCGAAATTGTAGGATTTGGAACAATTTTTCAATGGAAAAGTAAAACTTTTAACATCCATTTTTCTGTTTAAAGAGAAAAAAAGTTACTCAGTATTAGAAAATCGGTAACCTTGTTTTATTGAATTATTATACCAATAGAAAAGTAAAGTAATCTTATATAAATTTAATGTTCTGAAATAACAAAATTACAAAATTATTTTTTCAAAATTTTATTCCACAGCACCTCTAATTGACTTTAACTAACAACAAAATTTAACCAATGACAAAAACTAAAATAATATTTAAAACATTTCCATAGGTATAGCAATTTTTAGTGAATTGCCATAAATATACCTATTTTTATAAAATAATATCAAAAATTTTGTAAATTGGGAACAAATATTTCTGATTCTCTAAACTGACAATTCAAAAATTCATAATTTCTTTGAGTTATTAAATTAAAAAATAAACACACTTTATGCACATTCAAATAGTTAAAAAGTAAATTCTTTCTTAAAACAACACATAAGTGCTTTCATTTTAGATTTAAAACATGATTTAATTGATATTAAGTTTTTAAGTTTTTCTAATGTTTTACGAAACACCTTTTTCAAATCAATTTTTTCATACACGACTGTTTTTTTTAAAGTTTCAATTAAGCTTAGTCAATTAACAATTTAATCAAAAATTAACTAATAGTTAAGAAAATTACATTAAGATAAAAATGTGTTTCATGAAAGTATTTAACAACTTTCAAATGTAAAATATATTGAAATATTGAAAAAAATATATTTGAAATATTTAGATAAAAAATTAATAATTTTTTTATTTTGTTTACGTTTACGTTTTAAAGCCAACGATTAATAACTACATTTTATTTTATTTTTAAACATGCTAAATAAATTACAAAAGTTATTTAGCTAATGAAAATTTTTTTAAAACTTTGAAGCTCTAAAAAAATAGCTCCTAAACATTTATAATAAAAATAGGAGTATAAATTTTGTACCTTATACCCTTAATTAAAAATTTTATTTTTAAGACTTCAACTTAGCTTTTCGCTTTGTAGTAACTTATTTTTTTGCATTGTAAATAAATCAATTTACACAGAAGCTTGAAAATACATCTAAACTTTAAAACTAAATTAAATAATAGTTATTTATTATATAAGACGATAAACAATCTTTATCGTCGTGTATAATACAACATTTGTTTCTATAGCAGGACAAAAAAAAATAAATTTCAAAGAAATTACTACTAAATTACTAAAACACTTTATTTGTCCTTGTTGTTAAAGTGTTACTTTATCTACCCTTGCGTTTAAAGTGCTACTTTATCTACTCAAAAGAGTTGATAAAGAAATAGTTTAACATCTGCTATAGAAAAAAATTCCTACATAAAAAAGAAAACTAGTTCATAATAATTACAAAAATTTCTATAAAAAATAACATTGATGAAAAACATGCTCTAGCATCTAGAAAGCTCAATAATTAGTAGAAGTGTTTGTTTTACGGTTGGTATCTTCAGAATTTGCTAAAAACCAACATGGCAGAGAACAGTGTTGGTTGCAAAAAATGCCCTAAATATTTTTTGGTAGCGTTTAATTTTATCTCTTCCAACTTGGAAATTATTTTCTGTAAACTTGATTAAAGGATTGACCATCCCACGCCTACACGAAACAGATGTTTCAGGTTAGATATCCTTCATAAATAATTATAGGGCGTCCATTTTTTAACTATTAAGTTGTTGACATTAAATAATTTATTCAAAATACAGTGTAACACAATCCATTTTTTCTAAATGTATTTCAAGCAGTAGTTTTCATGAAACAATTCGTTTCAATTATTCACGACCGTAAAATAACTTTACATTTGTCGAGAATAGTTGAGTTATCTATAATTTCATTTAAAAATTTATTTCATATACTAATTAAGAACACTGATGTAAATAAAATGTTACATGTTATTGTCATAAATATTTAATATTGTTTTCGTAAGTGAATATAAAAGCGCGAGAGTATCTTATCTAATA